GTTCCAAACTATGCGACCTCGGTTCTGGTGGAATGGGATGAAGAGAGATATAGCCGACTTTGTATCTAAATGCTTGGTATGTCAGTAGGTCAAAGTAGAACATCAACGCCCAGGTGGGTTACTTCAGCCTTTATCGATTCTAGAGTGGAAGTGGGAACATATCACCATGGACTTCGTATCGGGACTACCCAAGGCACGATCGAGACATGATGTTATATGGGTAATTATTGGCCGACTCACTAAGTCTTCCCACTTCCTGGCCATCAGAATGACTGATTCTTTGGACAAGTTGGCAAGAATGTATATCCGGGAGATAGTCAGACTGTATGGAGTCCCAGTGACAGTTGTATCCCATAGGGACCCCAGATTTACTTTTCGGTTTTGGAATAGTTTCCAGCAAGCTATGGGAACAAAGCTGTCTCTTAGTACTGCCTTCCACCCCCAAACGGATGGACAATCAGAGAGGACAATTCGTACGCTTGAGGATATGCTCCGAGCTTGTATCCTTGACTCCGGGGGCCATTGGGACGACCATCTACCCCTGATAGAGTTTGCCTACAACAACAGCTACCAAGCAAGCATCGGCATGGCCCCATATGAGGCGCTATACGGGCGCCCGTGCAGGTCACCGATTTGTTGGGAGGAAGTGGGCGATAGAAGATTGTTCGGCCCGGAGTTGGTAGAGGAGACCACGTCCAAGATAGTTAAAATCAAGAAGAACATTCAGACAGCTCAGAGTAGGCAGAAGAGTTATGCAGATACCCGGAGGAGAGACCTAGCTTTTGAGAAAGGCGACCGAGTGTTTCTTAAGGTCACTCCTTTCAAGGGAATTAGTAGGTTCGGCAGGAGGGGAAAATTAAACCCCAAATATATTGGACCATTTGAAATCTTAGACAAGATTGGTACCGCTGCCTACAGACTTGCACTGCCTCCTGAGCTCTCCCGGGTTCATAACGTGTTTCACGTATCTATGCTACGTAAGTACAACCTGGACCCTTCTCATGTCTGGGCTCATGAACCGCTTCCACTCCAAGAGGACTTGTCTTATAAAGAAGTACCGGTCGGTATCACGGACCGAGAGAGCAGAATACTCCGCAACCAGGAAATATCATTTGTAAAGGTCGTGTGGCAGAACCACACGCCCAAGGAGGCTACTTGGGAACTGGAATCAGAATTTAGAGCCCAGTATCCCCATCTGTTCGATCAAGAGTAAGAGGCAAATTTGGGGGACCAAATTTCTTTAAGGGGGGGGGAGAGTTGTAACGCCCAAACAATTGGGCATTTTTGTAATTTCTTTATTAATTGTATTTATTAAGTTTATTTAAAAAAAAAAGAGAGTGCCACGTCAGCAGCCACGTCAACAGGCCCAGTCAGCAATCTTGGCCAACCAGGACCTACCGCGTGGCAAGACCACGTCGACCCGGAGACGGGCCACGTTGGCGATCCGCGTACGCACGATCGGACGGCCCAGATGCGTCCCCGCGCGCACGGACGGCCCAGATCAAGCGTGCGCACGGACGACCCAGATGCAATCACACGGACGGTCCAGATGCACGCACACGGACGGTCCAGATTAAATCAAAAACGGACGGCCCATTTTAAAACAAAATGGACGGCTGAGATCAAAAGGCAAAAGGGTATAAATAGAACCCCCACACCTGACTACAAAAACCCTAACCGCCTGCCCCCGCCGGAGAAGACGAACCAGACGCCGGAGAAGCCGGCCGCCGCCACCCGCCCCTGCATCGGAGAAATTTTCGACCGCTGATCGAGGTAAATTTCATACCCCCGACTCGTTTTTCCACGTTGAATTCCCCTGTAGCCAAATCGGTGCCAAAATCCTGGCCAAACGGCCAGAAAACACGGCCGAAACCCAGCTGCGTCGCCGCGCCCCTCCTCGGTTTTTGCCTCCGATGAGGCCCTTCCCAGCCTCCGTTTGATACAATTTTTATATCACCGTGATCACCATTCTTTTCTCTACAAGTTGATCGGAGCCGAATCACCAAAACACGAACCTCGCCGGAGAGCCGCCGCACCCGAGAGCACCGCCGCCGGTAAGCTTCGATTTTCCGTAATTTTTTGGCCCCCCGAGGGCCCTAGGGTTGTTTTATCGCAGGGACCGATGCAAGTGTGGCCGAATTCGGCCGGAAACGACCGAAAACAACCAACCCGAGGCGAATCGCCGCCGTTTGCCGGAGCACGGCGGAGTCGCCGTGCCGGAATTGCGATATTGGCCAAAAAGGGGCCCTGGGCCTAATTTGGGATTTTTTGGAACATGTGCAGGTACCAGTAGTGCGTTTCAGTTCCCCGGGAAAAATTCAGGGAAAATTAGGGACAGCCTGTAGGCGCACTGTGAAGTCGTGTTCGGACCCCGAAACGAGTAAGGACCCCTCACCCTATTTCCTATCACGGTATTAAAGTTCAATAAATGATAAAACGGTATTTCATGAATTAATGAATGTGTGAAATTGCTTATGGTCGCTAATGGAGCTCGAATCTAGTGTGTTTGTCGGTTAACTGTTATTTGGCCTGTTTTACAGTTTTAAATGCAGTATGAGGTTTGATGTTTTCATTTTATAGTTTCGTGTGAATATTTTACTATTTTACTGATTATGGATTGAATGACTGGGATATTAATGCTTTATGTTGTCTGTTTGGCATAAATTACTGTTTTGCTTTTTTGTATGTGGATTGATGATGCTGACTGAGGGAAAGGAGAATGAAAGATTATGTAAATGGGTAATTGTATAATGTGGTCAGCCTGACTAGATATCCTGGGAGATGGTGGACGGACCGGGTCCGTAGGGAACCCTACCGGGATTGTGGTCTCCCATACCGGACGGGGTATGGAGATCTTGTGTGTTTTGGCGCCCATACCGGACGGGGTATGGGGACGGCCCTGGAATGGATTTCAAGTGTTAAGGATTAACGGGTAGCGGGACCCCTATGGATCCCCATGGATACTAGTGGGGTGGTGAATCAGGAAAATATGTTGTGTAACG